AATAGTTCTTCATGTTCCACTTAGTTTTCCGTTCCTATGCAAAGACTTTTTACACCATGTGCACGTAAACACACGCGCACACATACACACACATAATTATATACACCCACACCACATGAACACATGCGCGCACACACACACACGCACGCACACACACACACACACACACACACCAAAGACCTCCGCGTACTTACAGCTCTGCCGGGGTAGAGGGTTCTACGTGGTCGACACTGAGTGAAGGCAGTCGGGTATGCACGGCTTGTGCATGGCAGAATCTGTCAGCATTGTGGATAGAAAACACACAAAGGAAGAAAGACATGAAGGTACCCAGAACCTGGACATATACCCACTTTTCCCAATGCAAACACATGCATAAATGGCAAATGCACACCCTTCACCCCGCTTCCTGGAGAAAAATGCACGCACGCTTGCAGGTATGCACACATACATTTATATCAAGAGTAGATAAACAAGAGTGTGCAACTCCGGATCTCTTCTGCACAATCTGCAAATACCCCTGCCCGCGGCGGAATTTTTCGTTGACGTCACCTTTTTTTCAGATAAACGCGCATTTTGCCGGGGAGCAGTGTGAGAGCACATGTTGGGCACCGACCTTGTGATGAAAAGCCCGGCCAAGTGCACGAGGCAAAACTTTCCAAAAGACTCGCTGCTCGTGCGTCGTCGAAAAGATTACGTCAACAAAAAATTCCACCCCGGGCCAACCCATCCCGGAGTTGCACACTCTTGTTTATCTACTCTTGGTTATACGTATGGATCAGAGAGTAAACTAGACTAGCTAGTTGAACTGCCAAACCACCAGGATTATAACCAACAAATGAAGGTTATACACATGCCGGAAACGAAGTAGACAATTACAACTACAAAAGCCAATCCATTATAAAATCCAATAGTCGATATATTACAACACCACTAGTCGAGATACTTCAACACCACTTGTCAATATTTTACAACTCCACAAGTTGCATGGTACCCACCTCGCCCTCGCCTGTATCCACGGAAACAGGCGCGTCTAGGTGCAGAGTCAGGTTTGGATTGCAGCCGATCACCGCTCCACGATTCTCTATGGTGAGCGTCAGCGTTGTCGGAAAGCCCGGGCCGGCGAACACAGTGTTGTCCGAAGCCCGGCTGTAAGTGATAAGGAAACACGAGGGAAAACGATAGAGGTGGTGGACTGCTAGTCATAACTCGTACCTTCTCGGTTCTTTCTCTTTTACATGAAAACTATAGAGGTTGTGTGATTACAGTTGACCATCGATTATCCGAACATCGATGATCCGAACATCGATTATCCGAACATCGATTATCCGAACATCGATTATCCGAACATCGATTATCCGAACATCGATTATCCGAACATCGATTATCTGAACATCGATTATCTGAACATCGATTACCTGATCATTCGCTTATCAGGAATGGGTTTTCAAACCGCACGTGGCTCAGGCTACACATTTTCGTACGGGAGCTTGCCCGAAACGTTAGTTGTTGCAGCGCTCAGTCGCTGCATGTACCACTCACTGTACAGGCTGTACAGTTAACAACTTTAGGGTTCACGGCTTGCCACTAAAAGCACCCGTCACGTGCGCCTC